AAAAAAAAAAAAAAAAAAAAGATAAAGTAAACCCAAAGAAAGCACAAAGACAGGAAATAATAAAGGTGAAAGCAGAACTTAATGAAAATAAAGTAGTAGATGTAACAGGCCAAATCCTATTCTGCTAAAAAAAAAAGTAGACAAACACTAGTTAACTTAAAGAGAGAAAGCATAAATATTCAAAATAAGAAGTGACATGGATGTGAAGGTGATCTGGCTGCAACCTCTGTCACCACATCAATCGCCAGGGTTGATCCAGCTCATCTGGCTGGCTAGGTGGGTGGTCGCCTTCCTCTCTCACTGCTCCACGTGCATCCCTCTGGAAGCTGTGCGTCCAGTTGAGGAAGATGACCATCTCTCACAGAGGAGGACCGGTCTTTGGTCAAGGGTATATGAGTAGCTGCGCTCCCCTGCTAGAACCTCCCAACAAGCTCTCAAAATGAAAAATGACAAAGGGAAAGTATCAAAAAGCATCTTTTTAAAAGTCACGTAAGACTACTTTGCAGATCTCTATATATAAATGTGTAGATCTAAATGAAGTGAATAACTCCCAGAATTAACTCCAGATAGTCACAAGGAAATTCTATCAAACCTTCAAACTAGGTAGTCTTTTTGCTCCAAATACTGTCCCAAAGCATTGAAAACTGAAGGGAAAGGTCCTCATTTTTTTTTTTTTTTAATAAAGCAAGGATACCATGAGGATCTTAACTTGATGACAGTTCAAAAACAGAAAATTATAGACTAATCGTCACTTACAAATATTGAAGCAAAATTCTAATTAAAATATTAGCAAAAAGACTCCAACATAACAATAAAATATTTCACCATGGCAAAGAAAAATTTATCCAGGATTGGAAGACTGGTCCAATTTTAGGGGATCTATTTTTACAATAACACCATAATAACAGATGTAACGAGAACTCACAATTGCCTCTATACGTGGTAAGATACTCTACCAAAACTCAACACCCCTTCTTCAAAAAAAAAAAAAAAAAAACCCAAGAATATAGAATTGATAGATTTTTAAAATTTTTTATTTTGCACTAATTTTAGACTTACAAGGAAGTAGGACA